GGCCACGCAGCGGCCGGTGGCGAGCGTGCAGCTCTTGCCGGGCGGTTTTGGTAGAACTTGAGAAGCCGGTTCGAGAGCTGTGTCTGGTAGGGCCGTGCTGGGGTTCGCTTCCCCAACCTCCCGGAAACTACAAATCCCTCTGCGATCAACCCGCGCGCTCCCTGCTCCGCTGGCTCGAGGTTTTTAGAGGGCGGGAGCAATGCGGGCAACTTTCTCCGCTGGCTCCGCCCTGCTCTGTCCTCCTCCTGGTCCTGCGGGTGAGGTTGGGCAACGTCCATGGACCACGCCTCCAGACCCGCGGGCGTCCAGTAGCCGAGGGTCTAACCCCGGGCTGCTCGCCCCTCCCGAAGGGTTAAAATTTAGCAGAGATGGGCGGGGAGGTAGCAACTTGGTTGTGATTATTCGAATGAAAACATCCTTTGTGGTCATTCACTTAAGCTTCCGTCTCAGCCTTTCCTGCTGTCAAGCGAGGGTGTATTCCCAAAACAGGATGGCAGTGTCTGGATCTCAGAGGACACTTGGTGCAAAGGAGGATGAACTGTTCTGTCGTTACAGAACAACCTAGGACTTAATTAACCAGGCTTCGGCAATTTTCCCCCACGATCAGTCATATATCGTCACCTCAAAACATGGTTTAAATGGCGAGGATAAGGAGAATAGAGAATTCTTTTTTATTTTGAGAGGTTCTTGCTATAGGGCGCGTGCGCTCGCCAGACAGAGAGAGACAGAGAGACAGAAAGCGAGAAATCACCCACCAGGGGAGATGGCCATGCCACAATCCCTTCTCCTCCAGTCTCCTCTCGGGGATCTTCGGCACACACGCATATGCGCCCGGCATGAGTTTATGCCTCCTGGTCCGGGACTAGAACCAGGCTCGACTACATGGGAGTCCAGCGACATAGCCATTATGCTAACTGCTGGTCCTGAGAATAGAGAATTCTTTGCACTACTTACAAAAAAAAAAAAGTTTATGTATTTTCTAAAATCCTTCCAGGGAGCTAATCCGCTTTTAAAATGCGAAAGTTTTCTCCAAGCCACCCACGTCTGTCCGCATCCTTTACACCTTGATTATTGGATTGGTTTAAGCCACAAGAATTTCCTTGCAGAGATCCTGACTGAAAGGGGGTTGTTTCGAAACTTCAGCACAGCTATAGTAAGCAAGTGTCATCAGAGGTGTCATGGGGAGGGCCAGAGAGATGCTACAAAAAAGAAAAACATTCACTCATACCGGCTAAACGTTCTTGCATTATCTCCCATAATCCTCAAAACAACTCTGTCAAGTTGTTAGTGCTGCTTTGTGTCAGTTTTACACCCAGAGCCCCAGCTGAGGCTTAGAGGGAGAAGTAGCTGTTGGTGGCAGGACTAGGACCACTCTGGCTTTGTGCTGATCATACCCTCTGGATTCTCTGTTTGGTTCCTGGTCAGCGCCGCTGGTCTGTGGACCAGAGATGACAGAAGGAGAGAAGAATGGTCCCATGACCAGGATGCTTCCATTCCCAAGCAGCATGAAGGCTTGCAAACCTGCTTTGCCTTCCTTCTGCTCATTCAAACACAAAGCTTGCAAAACTGTTACTCCAATGATTCACAGCTTCGCCAGGAGGTGGGCCTTAGCGTTACAGCCTATTTTAAAGGTCCCTTAACATCAAAGGCCTCTTCCTAGCCACACAGATGCCGAATGATGAGAAACCAGGAGTTCTAACTACTCCCTCTTGGTTTTTGTTTTAATTTGTTATAGGGCCTGTGAGCTCACCAGAGACACAGAGAGAGAGAGATACACACAATGTAACTGGGAAATCGCCCCCCAGGGGGGATGGCCACATCTCAGCCCCTTCTCCATTCTCCTCATGGAATTTTGAGCACCCATGCACAGGCACCTGGTGTGTTTTCAAGCTACGGAACCCTGCACAGTTACTGGGTGCGAGCCAGCCACCTTCACCACGACACCACCTGGCTAGAGCCTCCCTACTTATTGTCTTACCCAGGCTCAGCTGATCGGTTCGTGTACCACACACATAACTTACGGTACGATATCAAGACAATTTACTTCCTTTAGGAAATATTCTTCTTGGTTTCTATTATTTTACTCAAATATTATCATATTTCATTAACACGGTGCTTATTAAATACTCGAGTCAATGTAAGAATAATGTGTAAGTTAAATCATTTCATTTTTTGAGAAAGAGAATTTTGTTATAGGGCATGTGCATTTGCCTGAGAGACAGAGACAGAACGTGAGAAATCACACACCGGGTGGATGGCCACGCCGCAATCCCTTCTCCTCCATTCTCCTCTTGGGATCTTGGGCATGCACGCACACACGCTCCGCTTGAGTTTTAAGCCACCAAGTCCGGGACTCAAACCGTGGTCAACTATGTGGAAGTCCATCAACATAACCATTACACCATCTAGTGGCCCCTGTAAGTTAAAGAATTTAAATAACTTGGGGCCAATGTGGGGAGTGATGGTTAAAGGTGCTGAACTCCCACATGGCTGCCTGCGGTTCAAGTTCCAATATTCCAATAATTAACCAAAATGATGAACACAAAGAGAAAGAGGAGAGGCACTTGATATATGTTCTCTAGGCCTTTTAGAAAACATGGAGTTGTGGGGCCAGCAGGTGGTGTGGTGGATAAGGGCGCTGGATTCCCATATGGCCAACCATGGTTCAAGTCCTGGACCTGTGGCTTGCTTTCTCACTTTCCCTTTCTCTCTCTCTCTCTCTCTCTCGTCAAATAAAGAAAAAAATAACAATAACAAATGGAAATAAATAAATATTTTTTTTAAAAAAAAAAGAAAACATGGAGTGGTTCCTTTGGCAACATATATGGGAATCTACAAGAAAGGTGATATTGCAGACATTAAAGGAATCCGTACTGTTCAAAGTGGAACGCCCCACAAATGTTACCATGGCAAAACTGGAAGGGTCTACAGTATTACCCAGCATGCTATTGGCATTATTGTGAACAAACAAGTTTAGGGCAAGATTCTTGCCAAGAGAATCAATGTGCGTATTGAGCATATTAAGCATTTTAAGAGCAGAGATAGCTTCCTAAAACGTGTGAAGGAAAATGACCAGAAAAAGAAAGAAGCCAAAGAGAAAGGTACCTGGGTTCAACTAAGCACCAGCCTGCTCCACCCAGAGAAGCACATTTTGTGAGAACCAATGGAAAGGAGCCTGAGCTACTGGGACCTATTCCCTATGAATTCATGGTGTGATGGGTGTTAAAAATAAACTAATCTGTGGTCTATAAAAAAAGAATTGAAAAATAATGATAATAAATAACTTTTTAAAAAATAATAAATTATTTTAAAGTTTCTGAATAATTTGAGGAAAATATTAAAATAAATTACAATTCACCACACTATAAAAATTGTTTTCATAGTATTAATTTTAAGCTCCAGAGGATCGAATTAATTTTTATATTCTCAGCACATTATTAGAACCAGTTATAATAAAAAGACATGATCCAAGCTAGAAGGTGGTGTGGTGGTAAAGGAGCTGGATCCCACACAGCTGTCTGCACAGTTCGAGTCCTGGACCAAGAGACTTGCAAACATGCCAGGCGTATGTGCACACATGCCCAAAATGCCAACCACACACACACACACACATGCAGGGATTCTTCCTCACTTTCCCTTTATCTTTCTCTCTCTCTCTCTGTCTCTCTCTATAACAAAATTGTGTGTGTGTGTGTGTGTGTGTGTGTGTGTGTGTGTGTGTGTGTGTGTGTGTGTGTGTGTGTATGCATACATGTTTTATTTTTCCGCTCAACTCCTTGGATCACTTACTCCCTTTTATGGAACGAAGTATTCTCAACTCTAGAATGGCAAATAAAGTCAGTTAAGATTTTTAAGAGAAGGACCAGCAGATGGCACAGTAGTTGGGGCACAGAACTCTCACTTTGAGTACTGGACCTGGCAGCTTCCTTTCTCACTTTCTCTCTCTCTCTCACTCTGTCCCTCTCTGGTGGAATTTAAATAAATACATAGATAAATAAATAGGGACTAGCAGTTGGCTTAATGGCTATGTCACTGGACTCCCACATAGTTGACTGCAGTTCGAGTTCCAGACCTGGTGACTTAAATTCACCCTGGGCACATGTGCGCGCATGCCCAAGATCCCTAGAACAGAATGGAGGAGAAGGGATTGCGGCTTGGCCATCCCCCCTGGGGGGTGATTTCTCGCTTTCTGTCTCTATGTCTCTTTCTGTCTGTCTGGCAAGCACACACGCCCTATAGCGAAAAACCTCTCCAAAAAAAAAAGAAAAAAGAAAAAAGAAAAGTTAAATAAAATAATTCCTTTTTTTCTTTTCTAAAAAATATTTATTTACTTAATTCCATTTGTCTTTTTTTTTTTTTTTTTTTTTTTTTTTTTTTTTTTTTTTTTTT